ACACACACAGGCACACACACACAGACAGACAGACACACTCAGACACACACACATGCACACAGAAACACTCAGACACACACACGGACGGACACACAGACGGACACACAGACGCACACACACAGAAACACATAGATGGACAGACACACACACACATACAGACACAGACACACACACACACACACACACACACACACACACACACACACACACACACACACACACACACAGTCTCAAAGATACATAAAACAGAAGAAAACACAGCTCATCACTAAATTCAATTAGCAATTCAATATAAAGTGAAAACAAAATTGATCATCCTATTTTAAGCCAAATATAAATTATACAGATACTTGTGCATACTCACAGACACAGTTCAATTATTCTTTATGGTACAGAAATAATTTTATAGCAAATTCTTGAAATGTACTTTGGGAATATTCCGGAAACTATTGCATGTCATGTTTCAATTCAAGGCTTTATTGTAATTAGTGCATAGGTACAGTGTAGATATGGCAATGAAACACTTGGGACACAGGCTCCTCCAATAGTGTAACATATATAGGAGAAATAAAATAGTGCAAGTAAATACAAATAAAATAGAAATAGTGAAAGAAGAGTCTATATACAAGTCAAAGGAATATGATATATTAGATGAATATATCATATTCGGAGGCGTGTGGCTAGGGATGGGTACCGAGCCCCGGTATTAAACGGGCCCCTGGGCTGAATTATTAAAGACCGTGGTGCCGTTAAGCTCTGACGTTATCAGTCTTTTTATCGGCACTGGAGACATTTAAAAAATATATGTCATGTGTATTATTGCTACATAAACATTATATTGCAGTTTTAGTGTCGCCAACTCCGTTTCTAATACGCAATAAGACTGCAAAATGCGTCAATGATTATTTTTAGTATTTTCGATCTTTCCAATCCAGTCGAGAGATCTCTCCCCCCCGCCTGCTTGGGAGGGGGCGGGGCAGTTTACACACACGCAGCTGCTACATGCAGCAACACACACACACGGAGGAGATGGCGGAGAGAACGCGCTCCAAGGTGTGGTTAAACTTTACCCGTCTCGATGTGGACAATGCTCGTTACCAAAAGCGCAATAAGAGTTTAGCATGTGAGGGCGGTAACACGAGCAGTTTGTCTAAACATTTATCAAAAGTGCTCCACATCCAGACGGAGGAATGCACCGGGTTGGACTGTCTTTCTAGCAGCTCTGTAGCCCCATCCACGAGTAACGTTTCCACGGTGTTATGTATGCTAGCAGCAACACGGAGTTAGCTACATTATACAAACACGGGTTAATGATTAGAGGAAACTGAGTTATTTATTTTGTTAAAGTTTCAACTATTCTGTTTACAGATTATTTAATACGATTTGTTAAAGCATTGTTTCTTTTGATGTGAAATATTATTTATTTTATTTAAATAAAAATAAATGTTAGTTTTGTTCACAATTTGTTTAGTTAGTTTACCTTGTTTTTTTCTCCAAAAGAACCGGTAAGAGTATCCGTTAAAAAACCGGACCGATAAGCGGTATCGATAAAAGTAGTAGTACCGTTAAAACCTTAACGATACCCATCCCTACGTGTGGCGCAGTGCATAGTGTGCTGATCTTCAAATCACTGGATAGCAAGTTCGAGTCCCACTGCAGTCAGCATGTCGTTGTGTCCCTGACTCTTCACCCCAAATTGCTCAATCGTCCACAGTATTGAGTTTGTAAGTCGCTTTGGATAAAAGCGTCTAACATGTAATAAATAATTAGCAAAATGCAAACGGATGAATGTTTATGGATGTTCTTTAAAAGGTGCAGATGTTTAATAGTCTTATGGCCTGTGGAATGAAACTCCCTGAGTCTGGAGGTGTTAGACCTGATATGTTGAGCATACTGCTATGTGACGTCAGTCCAGCCTGATGGCAGTTACATTACGTCTCTCGTTGCAGCTGCTTCTGCTGCCCAAAGTGTTCTGTGTGTTTCTCAAAATAACTCTGAGGTCGTCAAACACAGACGTGAACTGCCCAGCTGCATGAATAATAGGATGATTTCAGGCAGTGTTGTCAGCTAAAATTCTGTTGACTACTTTGCTTTTTGTAAAGGTGAGACACCTCGGTCCTGCTGAATATGCTCTCTCGCTCGCAGCATTTCCCAGAATCCTTGTATAGGCTGTGTCTTCCTCATGGTGTGCAGAAGACTTAATTCCCTCACTTTGTGCTCACAGCTGCTGAGGCAGACAAAGCCACCGCTCAACAACAATGTGCTCATCCAACACTATGTTAGCGCTGATGCAGAAACTCAACCTTCGTGGGGAACAGGCACTTGTATTTTGTAATTATGACAAGAAGTGTTGAGCGTCGCTTCACGGTTTCTCGCACACAGAAAAGTGTCCGATGTGTTTCCCTTCCGCTGCAGATCTGTCGTTTCCACATCCAGCTCGAGCAGAGAGGTGGACGGGAAACATTATTTGACGGTGACAAGTTCAATGAGCGGCAGAGAGGGAGACATTTGAGCTGTCCAAAAGGACTCTGAGCTGAGTATCACTGCGATGGCATTTACGCCTCATCGGGGCGGTTTGTCACTAATCGATGCAAAAGCCCTGGAACAGAAATCTCCTTCGATGTTTTTTGGTCGGAGTGATTGTTGTGGGATTCTTTTTGTTCCCCCCACCAGCCAGCCGAACAGAAACGCTTCTGTCTCTTCACTGAAACCTGGAGAGAGAAACTAGACGTCTACATTTGGAAAAATGCGTATAGTGTATGAGAAGCCTGCTTATTGCCACAAGGCTGAAAACATGAACTTGTCGTCGTAGATGTTAATTTTACAGTTGGTTATTAATGAGCTTTCTATTACCATTTTCCTGTGATGTCCTACGTACTTTTTCCTGGTTTTGTTTGTTTGTAGCCTTTATTTAACCAGCTGAAGCCCCTTGAGATCAAAAGATCTCTTTTTCAAGGGTGACCTGCAGGACATTGGTTACACATGTAACATAAAAACAACAGAACAGCAATAAGGATGACATACAACATAATGTACAGGGTACAGTTTACAAACTCTATTTACAGTGACAGGTACCATGAGTATCAAACAGCATGTCACCCAGCTGAGTTTCAAAGTGATGCAGGGGAACCAAAGTGCTCAGTTTTAAACATGTTTGCAGACTGTTCCAATTTAGTGGAGCTGCACAACTAAAAGCTTTCTTCCCTAAGATAGTCCTAGCACTTGGCACATTTAATAAAACAACATCATGAGATCTCAGGCAATACGTACTTTCAATTCGTCCAGAGAGCAGATATAAAAAGATAGTTTACCCAACATGGCTTTATAGATGAACATGTACCAATGACTGAGCCTCCGTACAGTTATGGCGCGTTTCCACTGCAGGCCTCGCTCGGCCTCGCTCGGTTTGGTTAGGCCTTATTAGGCCCGGCTCACTTTAATGCTGCGCTTCCATTACAGTTTAGGAACTGGGGCAGTTACTATAGTAACGCAGTGTAGGCGGAGCCGTGACGTCATCTTCAATGAGAGCCCCAGAAAAACAACACAGCCGTTAGCTGTTAGCACTCAAGCTCACAGCTCCTCGTATCTGTTCAGAAACTAGACAAAAGTTAAACAAGTACAAACCACAGACTGCCTGTGTCATGGAGAATACAGTCGCTGGTTTATTTATGTCTGTATAGGCCGTTGTTGTGAGTGTGGACGGTTGGAGCATATATAACGTTAGCTTAGCCAAGCTCCATTTAGAAAACAGGCATTTTAAAAGGGTTTTTCGCCTGCCGTCTGTCTGCAGACTTGTCAAAGCATTAATTCATGGTTTTTACTAACCGGTATCAGTATGTTGTTACTTCGGCATCATTTAGAAACGTGTATTACAATTAAATCACGGTCAAATATGTTCATTTTGTTGTAGTTGTAGCGACTTTCTCTCTAGTTTAGCATACTCAGCCCGACTCAGCCTGGTTGTTCCTGGCCCTAGAACCACGATTTTATGGGGCCAGAAAAACTGTGAATTAGGACCAGCTAGCCGGTACTAGGCCAAGTGGAAACGCAACCAAAAACGGGCCCCGCACGGCTCGGCACGCTTAAAGCGAGCTACCTGCTGCAGTGGAAACGCGCCATTAGTGAAGGCAGACCTGCCTTGGCATACAGTAACAAATCTCAGGGCACTGTGATAGGCGGCATCTAACTTCTCCAGGCAATGGGCAGGTGCATTCATATAGATCAGATCACCATAGTCCAGCACAGGTCAAAAGGTCACAGTGATTAGCCTTTTCCTGGCTTCAAGCGAGAAACAGGACTGAAAAAGAAACCTAGTCTAACCCTCAGCTTTCTAAGCAGAATAATGACCTGAAGTTTGATCAACAGTTATATCAAAGGTATTTGCTTCTGAGTGCTGATGAGAACCAAAACTATAGAAAATGTCAGCTGTGGATTTAAATCATTGTGACGGAACAATAAAACAATCTTTTTATAACCCTTTCCAAAGGTTGCACAAAGACAAGGGTGTCCTCTTTAATATCCACAGACGGGACAATGAGTACGCGGGTTATTAATCTACATTTCAATATTATACACTCTTCCTCAAACGTAGATTAAATACTTACTACAGCACTTTGGAACTTCCTTATAATAAACTTGCATTCTAGGGTTTCTGGAACATGCTCTCCAAGCCGAGAGAAAATGGCACATGAGACTCTGGTAATTACATGAACTGAGTCGTAGATCTTTTATAATTGAATTTCCTTTAAACTCATCTCCTCTGATAATTCTGCAAGAGACCTTATTATTCTTTTTGGGGTTTCCCTATACTGTAATGTGTAATATAGGTTTTTGTACACGTCTGAAATGCCTCCTTTGTTTACTTCCTGAACATAGTGACATCACTATGTGAAACTTGTGCAAAATAAAGATATGAACATGAGCAGAATACTGCATGTCATCTTTCAGTGATTTCTCTGTTATGTATATTGCACTGACAGTTACTGCTCTGTTGTCCTCAGATTGTGTACGCGGCTGTAGACTGCACGCGAGGACAGAACAACGAGCTCTGTAAGCAGGAGGGAGTGGAGGGATACCCGACATTTAACCACTACAACTACGGCAAGTTTGTGGAAAAATACAACGGCGATCGTGGGGTAAGTAGTGCAACACGTCTCACCTCATTCTCTCTTTGCTGGTACTTACCGTCTCAGACACTTTACCAAGAATCCCATTTTCTTCTTGTTTAAAAAAATGAAGCTATTTCATACAAAAAACCTATAATTGTTTTTGCTTAAAGGGGACCTATCATGCAAAATGAACTTTTTGATCTCTTTTATACATACACATGTGTCCACGGTGTGTCGGGGAACTCACGCAGCGTCAGAAAATAAAACCCTCTCTTTTCCTCCGTACCCAAATATTTTTAAAACGGGGGAACAACGAGCGGATACAGATTTGCTGCCAATATGACGTCAAATCGGCGGCGGACCCACAGAAAGTTGCTATCAGAAACAATGCCTAACGTGTTTTGGATGTAATCTCGTCTTTGTTTACATTAGCATCGCTAACACTCAGAGCTAACCTGTACTGGAGAGCATGTGTGTGAAGAAGCAGGAAGTAAAAAGGAACTCACCTTGTGGTATAACCGGCAAGAGAGAAAGCCTTTGAGCTCCAGACTGTTTCAGAGAGAATCCTTGATGTGGTTTAGAACAGGATGGCGTTTTATCACAGCAGAATTTAACTTTATCTCCGGTAGAATTCTGATTAGCTCCGCCTCCTCTTTTTTTTTTTTTTTCAAGCTAAGGACCCAAGATCTGCGTTTCTCTAGCAGCTGGAATAGAGGGATATGAGGGATTTCTAAAATGCATGATCTGTTTGTATTTTGAGAAAAACACATCATAGACATGTTTATATATTTGTATATATCTGAGACCCATAATATATGCCTAAAAATAGCCTGATAGTTGACCTTTAAGAAAATGAATTGCATACATAGGCACCTAAACCAAGGACTTCCCCAAAGCATAATCAAACAAACAATTTTGCCTTTTTATCATTTCTAGAATCATTGAGAGACTGTTAGTTTAAACAGTCAGTTGGCGTTATCCTGCAGTTTCAGTGGGTTAATAATTGAAATGCTAATGATATCAATTGGTGTACTGTAAAAATGCCTTAACCCATCTTTCAAAAGTATTAATACTAAGACATTAGAAATAGAATGGAATATTTTGTCCAAATACCTTTTCCATTAAAGGTGGGATAGGTAATTCACTTCAGAAACACTTTTTGTTATATTCCATGGAATGCTCTTAACATCCCGATAGCAATGAATATCTGAAGTGATTTGACAATAAAATGTCATCTCTGGAAGCCGTGGCGCTGTAAAAAGCACGACCAATCATCTGAGCCGGCCCGGCTAAAGTAACTGGATGGCCTACCTGCCTGTCAGCCTTCCATCTGTGCACAAACTTACCTCGTGCCCTCATTGGTCATGTGCACGTTTGTGTGTGTTGGAGGAGGGGCTCTGTGAGGAAGTCTGAAGGAAGGGGCAGATTTTTTTTCAAATTCTAGCGCACTCGAGCTGGTTCCTCCATTCTTACCTACCCTACCTTTAACTGTCATAGTTTGTTTGCAGCCAGAAGCACATGCACCAATGTTGTAGTTTTTTCTTCAAGTTTGGTACAATTGGGAAGTTGGTCTTAAATTCAATTGTGAGTGGAATAAAAAAAGTCCTAAATCTTAATTTTCTTGAGCTGTAGGACCCCTGGAAATGATGGGATTCAAGGCTTTAACTGTCATGTTGTCATAGCTACAGTGTAGTTATGACAATGAAAATAGGTCCCTGGCTCCTCCAACAGAGCAACACAATAAAACAGATAATAGTGCAAGAAAATACAATTGAATATAATCGACATGCAGAATAGTCTATATACAAGTAATTGGAATATTTATATAAGTTGCAAACAGATGAATGTTATGGATGCAACTTATATATATCAATATTCCAATGATAGACTATTCTGCACAATTTCTATTAAATTCTATGTATTTGTTGAAAGTGTGAAGAGATTTCTAACCTCTCTGTTCCTCTCTCTCCACAGGAGGCGGGCTTCATCAATTTCATGCGCAGCCTCCGAGGACGTGACCAGGTGAAGAGGAAGGAGGAGCTCTGAGGGGGGGGGGGGGAGCAGGGTGGAGGAGTTGCACTGCACAGTTTGTCATTGCACTGTGACCCTTGACCCTGACAGGGGCCCAATCAGCACTAACGTGGGAGACTTGATGACCTCAGCTATTTTTTGATACCGTAGTGATCACGTTTGTAATAAATCCAACAGGGAACCTGCAGTGAGTGAGACTCCTTTTTCACGGAGGGGCGGGAAATACACGTGTTTTGCCCCAAACACTGTGACTACATTATGTGAAAAACTATACCGTATACTTTATCTATGCAATACTGGTGGTGGGCATCAATAGTGAAAGGTGGAGACTGCACAGGGGTCTGAAAACAGTCCCATCTACCCCCCTCTGTCTCTAGAAATAGAAACACACCCTGTTTGTTCCAAGATTTCCAAGTGTCACGTCCAGAGCCATTCAGAATATTGCTTTATCGCAGATTAGACGATAAATAACGGCATTTAACACCTAAGAAAAGCACATGGTGTACGGTGAAATGTGCTGTTGTAGTAAAGAGGCACTGTAGCTATGAAGTAGTTTTAAATCTTAGCCAAAGGGTACATATTCTGAATGGTTCCAGGCTTTTGTTTGGCTTTTTCATTTAGTTTTTCTAAAAACTGTGGCCTTAAAGATATACAAAAAAAAAATGCTGGATTTGCAGAATGATCAAACGAAGGGGATCAGACGCCTGGTGCCGTGACGCTCCTTCGGGTTATGGACCAGAGAAGAAAACAACAAGAACATGAAAAGCCAAATATTCTTGTCCTTTATTTTCATGGTTTCCAAATGTGTGGGATTCAGCGAGGCTCATTTACACACAATATGTGTCTCAAGATTGCATGTTGATGGTAAACAGTCCAGCACATGAATCTTCCACAGAAATAATAATTCTCACAATCCTCTCTGCATTCAGGGAGACGCTGGAATCATTCAGACCACTGGTTTACACTTTGGGCATTCAGGGTTTTTTGTTTTTAAGGGTACATGTCTGTTTTATTCCCACGCTTTCCTGACACTTTCTGCAGAACTGAACAACGACAAAATGACAATTCGGATCTGTGTTATCCTCCAATCCCTTGGCTTGAAATTCCTCGCCGTCAGTTAGCTGGACCGTGCTTAACGTCGTAATTCAATGGATGAATTTGTTTGTCATCCCAGGATTGTAAAGTCTCCAGACCCCCTCCCACTTTGGCAGCATAACACCATCATCATTACTTTGTGTGTTTTCAACCCCCACGCTTCGGCTACTATAAATATTTAATCTGTAGCTGAACTTGTGTTTTATTATTCAAGACTTTCGGTTTCTTTCATTATGAATAAGGTTCTCAGGGATAGCGAAACACAATTAAAGGGAACTAGTTTGTTTGTAATTTTGCATTCCAGCTGAATAACGTCGAGCCCACCAAATGAAATCTTGTTTACATTTGAACCCCAAGTTAAAACAATCCTGTGCTATGACAACATGTTGGAGAAGACATATTTGCAGTAGATGTTACTGAATCATTTCATCTTCATGGTGATTTTGAATGAACTCATTCCAAGTGAGACTGTTTAAATGTTCTGGCTGGCACCAAACACGTTTCTGTGTTCAGTGTGACTATTATTAATATTTCATGGCATGTTGGAGCATTTCGTAAGAGCGCTTCACACAGTTGGGTGTTAACATATTGATATCATGAGGTGTTCATTCTCCTCTGGAGGGAGAAATGCTTTCCTTTGTTTGCTGTTTTTGTTAAGGAGCCTCTGTCCCACATCGGTGGAATAATAGAAAGACCCAAAGTGACCCATGTTGTTTGGGAATGTATCACAATAATGCCAAGAAGTCATGGTTTCCTTTGTTGATTGTCTGTGCCAATATGTACAATGTTTCCCCCTTGCAGCAAGGACCTTGCGAGATAAAAAATCAATAAAGTAAAACATTTCCAAAATACTTGTCACTTATTTTTCTACAACATTCACATTGTTAGTTTTCTTAGACATATAAGGGGTGTTGTTCAAATGGTTATTATGTATACAACTGTTGGATCAGTTGGCATGAAATGAGGTGCACACATTCATGTTTCCAACTGGATGAAATGTAACGACTGATTCTCCTTGAGATCTATCTAGTTCTTCCAGTACTTTGTTTTTAACCTGCAGAAATAACGGCCTCCCTACTTTGCGATGATTGCTAATTCAATGTTTGCTATGATAGTGAACATGGTTTCCATCAGTAGGTCAATGTCATTACAAACTCATTTGCACGCAACATTTAGCGCTCTGTCTTTTAACCTCTTTCCTTCTCTTACGCTTTTTTGCTTTTCTCTACTGGGGACAGTTTAGAAATATCTATCTAAAAAGGTCCAAACAAACTGTTCAAGTCTGTTCACATTTATTTCCCCCATGAACTTGTCTTTAAACACGGCCGGAGCCCATACTGTGTTCCCGTTAGTGTTTACTTTTTCCCATTTTCCTCACTGGGGAAAGTTTAGCCATCATGAATCCAAATATATTTAAAAAAAATGTGTATTCAAAAAGTATCCATGGTGTTTTCTGATGGATGAAGACAAGTGTTTGTTGTCCAGAGCTGACGTTAAATTGACTTCTTTCTGCAGATTGATATGACTACATTGCAGTCAGACAACTCACGTGTTTCTTTATATGTTTATTAGAAGCAGCATATAGTTGAGTTTGGCGTCTAGGCTCGGGCCTCATCACCCCACAGATATACATAGCACGATGAGTGATGATTAAATAACTAACCCCCAAAGCCTACAGGTGGAAGCTGGGGTGGTGGTGGGGCAGCGAGCAGCAGCGACGTAGAGGTAGCTGCAGCAATAGCAGCTGCAAGCAATGCATGGAGAGAGATCTGCAGGTTAAATAGAGCGGCACATTAAGGAGACTCTGTTTGGTTGGTTGTAGAGTGGCAAGGGGCGTTAGGTATGAATGCAGCATAAGTGCTCAAGTTTACTGCCTGAACTATAGCTCGCAGGCTTCGCCCCATGGTCCATTGATCCCCCATAGCAACGGTCTATTATCGAAAATGAACAACCTCCACCGAGAACTCCACTAAGCAGTGTAATACTGTAAGTGGCAAGTTGCACAAAAACTTCTGGAGGCTTTAAAGAATCCCTTCAAAAGGAATGCTTTTAGCGCATTGAAATATATTTTACAGCAGTAATATTCCTCAGATGGAAGTTGAAAAGAAATGCCACAACTCTGTATAGCAAACATAGACACTAGACAGACAATAACAATAATAATAGTCTGTCTGAATCTACCCGAGAAGTTCTGACAGGATATCCACAGCCTGACAGTGACAATAGGTTTAACGTTATTTTAGCACCAGGCATCGCTGCTGGCTCAGTGAAATAAATGGAAGTCGACCTTGCCGGTAGGCTGACGGTCAGTGTTTTCTTTCTGAGTTTTTGTCTCAGAAAGAAAACAAATGGACCACTCAGCAGATCTGACACTGATGGCTTTATTATGAGAAATTGCACCGGACCTCAAAGGGACCCCGCTCACATTAACGTCAGAAAAAAATCTTGCCATTACTCCACGTCTGCAAACCCACTTTGACGAGCATCTTAAAGACTCTAAATCGTTGCTTTTAGGATCAAAGTTCTGGGGAACGTGTGTAAAACTCGCTCCTGTGTAAAGGGTTGTTGAGTCAAAAGTGCTCATAAATCAAATGTTACATTATTAGGATTGGATTGTATTGTTATTATCAATGTCAGGGAATAATTTCCATAGATGTTCACCTTTTGCCCTCTGACGCAGATGCCCAGCCTTGGGCAGCATGCTATCTCCCTTAAGGAGGGGCTGCCCTAGCAAGTTGTTGTTGTTACCAGTTTGTGACCGGGCAACTCTCGGTCAGAGATAGTTATTGTTGTGGGACACCTGGAACACATCCTTCTCGGGGTGTACATGACCCCGAGCCATAAGCGACAACAACTGTGATTCAGTGTCCTCAGCTGTTTAGTCTATCTATTGAAGAATGTTGATTATTACACTCTGAACTACACTGAACAAAAATATAAAGGCAACACTTTTGTTTTTGCTCCCATTTTTCACGAGATGAACTCAAAGATCTAAAACATTTTCTATACACAAAATAACCATTTCTCTCAAATATTGTTCACAAATCTGAAAAAATCTGTGATAGTGAGCACTTCTCCTTTCCCGAGATAATCCATCCCACCTCACAGGTGTGGCATATCAAGATGCTGATTAGACAGCATGATTATTGCACAGGTGTGCCTTAGGCTGGCCACAATAAAAGGCCACTCTGAAACGTGCAGTTTTGCTTTATTGGGGGGGTCTGGGGGGGTCCGAAAACCAGTCAGTATCTGGTGTGACCACCATTTTCCTCACGTAGTGCAACACATCTCCTTCGCATAGAGTTGATCAGGTTGTTGATTGTGGCCTGTGGAATGTTGGTCCACTCCTCTTCAATGGCTGTGCCAAGTTGCTGGATATTGGCAGGAACTGAACACGCTGGTCGTATACGCCGATCCAGAGCATCCCAAACATGCTCAATGGGTGACATGTCCGGTGAGTATGCTGGCCATGCAAGAACTGGGATGTTTTCAGCCTCCAGGAATTGTGTACAGATCCTTGCAACATGGGGCCGTGCATTATCATGCTGCAACATGAGGTGATGGTCGTGGATGAATGGCACAACAATGGGCCTCAGGATCTCGTCACGGTATCTCTGTGCATTCACAATGCCATCAATAAAATGCACCTGTGTTCGTCGTCCATAACATACGCCTGCCCATACCATAACCCCACCACCACCATGGGCCACTCGATTCACAACATTGACATCAGAAAACCGCTCACCCACACGACGCCACACACGCTGTCTGCCATCTGCCCAGAACAGTGAAAAGCGGGATTCATCCGTGAAGAGAACACCTCTCCAACGTGCCAGACGCCATCGAATGTGAGCATTTGCCCACTCAAGTCGGTTACGACGACGAACCGGAGTCAGGTCGAGACCCCGATGAGGACGACGAGCATGCAGATGAGCTTCCCTGAGACGGTTTCTGACAGCTTGTGCAGAAATTCTTTGGTTATGCAAACCGATTGTTGCAGCAGCTGTCCGAGTGGCTGGTCTCAGACGATCTTGGAGGTGAACATGCTGGATGTGGAGGTCCTGGGCTGGTGTGGTTACACGTGGTCTGCGGTTGTGAGGCCGGTTGGATGTACTGCCAAATTCTCTGAAACGCCTTTGGAGACGGCTTATGGAAGAGAAATTAACATTCAATTCACGGGAAACAGCTCTGGTGGACATTCCTGCTGTCAGCATGCCAATTGCACGCTCCCTCAAAACTTGCGACATCTGTGGCATTGTGCTGTGCAATAATCATGCTGTCTAATCAGCATCTTGATATGCCACACCTGTGAGGTGGGATGGATTATCTCGGCAAAGGAGAAGTGCTCACTGTAAGGGAAACTTATGCAGCAATGGAGAGTCAGGACTCAGAGAGACACGAGGAGAGTTGGAGCTTTGATGTCAAACACTGGTAGTTTATTACAAGTCAACGGCCGGAGTATTCATATCACAAGTCACAGCAGCAAAAGGTTCTGACTGCACGGGTGGGTTGTCGTGTCAATTCTGATCAGCCTATCTCTCGATAGCCCTTTTAACTAGTTTACAGAGAGTTAATCAGCATATTGGGGGAGGCGTAAACATCTGTGGAGCTAGAGGAGATTATCCCCCAACTATAAATACTCAATCACTTGTCAGTGGTGTTTAGAAGCCAGCGTTCCCACAGCCGTAAATCATTTTGTGACCGAGAGTTGAACTGGTTTATCAAGATAGCTGGAGCCTCCCATTCCTTAAGAGAGATAACAGAGCCAGGGTTTGGTCGTAAAACGTCAACAGGCAATACGGTTAAATATCTTAGGAGTAAGAAATTATTATTATTTGACACTTAGGAAGAGAGAAGAAATATTCCCTAACAGTCTACTCTTTTTGTCATCTTTGATAACCTGAAAACATTAGTCTAATAATAATTTGGTCAATACTTAAATCAATAAGCGTCTTCAGATTTGAGTGTGGTCTTACACAACATCAATTACATCACAGAGTAGAATAAGATTGAAACATTCAACCACAATGATTGATACAGACAATCACAATAGAAAATCATCTCTCATCAATGTTTGGATCATCTGTTGTCAAAAGCACAATAATGAACACACATAAAACACAGACGCATAATAGCAAAAACATCTTCTTTAAAATAATATGTTTTAACATGTAACCATTAGTTGATGCCTCTCTGAAGAACCAGCACCTTACCGTGGTAGAGAGGTTTGTGTGCCCTGATGAACCTGGGGGCTGTGTTGTCTGGAACCTTGTGTTCCTGGTAGGGTCTCCCATGGCAAATTGGTCTCAGGCAAGGGGCCAGACTAAGATTGGTTCAAAAGACCTCATGAAAGAAAAACTAAGAAGTGAGGATACCCGGCCCGGAGGAAGCCCGGGGTCCCCTTCTGGAGCCAGGCCCAGAAGGAGGACTCGTCGGCGAGCGTCTGGTGGCCGGGCTTGCCACGGAGCCCGGCCGGGCCCAGCCCGAAAAGGCAACGTGGGCAACACCTCCGCTTCTCCGTCCCGCGGGCCCACCACCTACGGGAAACATCGATGGGGTCGGGTGCGCTGCCAGAAGGGTGGCAGTGAAAGCGGAGGGTCTCGACGGACCAGACCCGGGCGACAGAAGCTGGCTTTGGGGGCGTGGAACGTCACCTCTCTGGGGGGGAAGGAGCCGGAGCTTGTGCGGGAGGTGGAGCGTTACCAGTTGGATCTGGTTGGGCTCACCTCTACGCACAGCGTCGGCTCTGGAACCTTACTTCTGGATAGGGGTTGGACTCTATTCTTCTCCGGAGTTGCTCAGGGTGTGAGGCGCCGGGCGGGTGTGGGGATACTCACAAGTCCCCGGTT